TTATCCGAAGCTGCCGCTCTCGCGTCTGCGCATGCGTAATCCTTGCGCTCTGATTGGTCCGTGTTTTTCCTTAATAATTCAAAAACGAAGCTTCAAACCCAATTTCTGCAAAGGGAAATTTTATTCAGAATCACGTCAGCTACCATTTCAGGGACCTACACTAATTCTGAGACACCCTATATTTTCTACAGAACTATTTATAGAGTTTGAATAAAGTTTATAGTACCATTAACAACTACACACGATGACTACAAAATAAATTGCTTCAAAAAAAAAAAAAAAATTAACAGAATATACACAGTAGCAACTGATCGATGTTCGAATATTAACTATTTTTAAAGAATGCCCAATATTTATGTTCGTTCAACTGATCGATCTACCTGTAGCAGTAGGGTTTCGCGACCCATCTCTTCAGGTCCCCGTTCTTTTTCCGTAGACACAAAAAGTTCGAAAGGCTTTTACGAAAGCTGCGTTACAGACCGAGTAGAGTTTTCGAGGATTAAGCGGTGGAAACTTCACGAAGAGGGATTAAAACTGCTAAAATTAATTCACGTAATTGCGGAGGAAGCTGATGCGGCTTGGCCAAGCCTCTTGGTCTTCCAGAATCGAGGGGATTTTCTGCTGGATAAAATCAAAAGAATCGCTTGAAAACGTTCGCGTGCAAGTTCAATATGTACTTAAAAATGTGAACTTATTTTATTGAATTAACTTTCATTTCCTTTGCGTGTACGAAAATTTGCATTCCTTTCTCTTTTATAAAATTTATCAACTAATTTGCAATTTTTGTGAACAATACATGTGTAAGGTAATAGAAAATGCATAAGACAAAATAAGAAATATTATTTTACAAATCCACTACTAATAATTTTTGTTATACATATTTTACACATATTAAAGTAATATAATCAAATATAATAAATTTCAATTTTTGCAATATGTTACCATTCTTTTATGTCACCATCCTCTTCGAGAACCTAAAATTGCAATATTCCAATAATGCAATATTACAAATATATCTTAACAATATATTTGTCACAATAAAACGAATTCCTCTATCTCCTCAAACAAACCAAAGAAACATGAAGCTCGAATAAATCCCAGTTTAAAATTCAACTCCTAAAAATTACAGTAAATATTGAAACGCTGTTTCACCATCGGGTTTAAACATTTTATTAATCCTTTTCATCGTTGTATTAAACTTTTCATTGTACGAAACGAAGTACGTTTTCTGCTTTCATCTTTTTATCCCTCTCGACTGACGAGTCGACTCGAGGGGTCTAAGGCTTAAGTAAACTCCTAACCCGTCTGTCTCGTCGCATTAATTAATTAACGTTCTCTTAATTGAATCACTCCGCGAAACAACGGCGCATTAACTCCATCGTCCTTCGCGAATACTCTTGAGCCAGTCGACGACATTTCATTTGCTTTTCACTCATGGCTTCTTACCAGCTGTTTCCGTACTGAGAGAGTGCTGAGTGGATTTTCATTAAAGTCAAATATCGTGGTTCCATGTGTACCGAGATTTAACTTGCAAGATTTTACATGTTAAAAAATTTTCGAGAACGAAAATATGTTCGGTCGTTTTATCAAATATCTCGTCGGCTTTTATTAAGAAAATTACACAAATTTTTATTAAGAAAATTTACATTTCTTGCGAAGAAATCGAATTTATGGCGGAACGGGATAAATTATTAAAACTCGTGAAACACAATAAATTTGTTATATTTACTTGAAAATTAGTTTTTATACGAGTCAGTTAAATCTCACTTTTAACTCATTTTTTAATTAATTTCTTAACCCAATTTTTAACTCTTGTTATGGGATGTATCGAAGTAAAACAGACAACACTAAAAATTAATAATAGAGAAATAACTTCAAAGCAATTCATCAAACTGATCAACTAATAAATTTCTGTCAACATGAAAAATATCTTCTAGTCAAGGGTTAATTTTTGTAAACTTTGCGCAATTTTCAGCCGAAAGCTCGGATAAATAAAAACAGAGGACATGCAAGAATAGAAAAAGCTGAGACAGCAAGGAGTCGCAAGAACGCACTGTTTCACGATTCGAATCTATCGTCCGTCGAAGAATCTGCGAACGAAAGCGGGAAAAAACGAAAGCAAAACGTGCGCCATGCTGTCAGGCAGCCAAGGAGAATGTGCGAGACGAAACGCAGAAGCGCGAAGCATGAATTATTCGTGGCGACGCGACGGTTGTCTAGAAAGCACGAGGTTCGCGTTTCCCACGATTCATAACGCGTTATCAATAATTAATCGCGTTAGCGGGACACAAAAGCGTAGCGAGGACAAGGCCAGAAGTGAGTAAACGCCTTCTACTTCTCGCACAAAGGCATCGAGCGTGTACTGGTCACCGGGACTGCTCAAGAGGGGTGTGGGAGCGGTATGGCGATCGTATTCCTGGAAAATCAGCTTCCCCGTAAACTACCGAGGACTCCTATAAATCTCGACCGATGACAGATCAGTATGCGATCCTTGTTATCGATCCACGGAGATGCTCGATGCGTGCATTTTGCTAATGCACAGAGTGCAACTCGGCGGAGTTGGCAATATCTAGGACTGGAGAACTTTATGTCGTTTGAAGGTCTAACATTTATAAATTAAGATGAGTAGGATGAGTATAGCATCGATGTTTCTTATGTTATTTATTTTTAAGGATGTTCTAAACTGAACAACTATTGTATCGATGGTAGCTTGCATCAATAATCGTGTATTCTAAGACCTAACACTTGGTGAGTATTACTCTGATAAGTCTTCGGAAATCTTGATTGATTTAATCTAGCTTTAATCTAGATTTAATCTTGATTTAATCTAGTATTATTCGCTCGTTGCTGTGCAATATTGTCACACTTGCGATACTGCAGTTCAAATGTGGCTGATTCATACTTTCACCGCAATTCAAGTTTGAATTCAATTTGAATCATATTTAAATTATCATCTATATCGCGAATTATTATATGCAAAATTTTGCCGTCTATTTTTCTTGTTACTGTGTAATTCATTAGCTGTGATGCAGTTGTCTAGAAAATTGAAGATCAGGAGATTGAGTGTTTGGAAAATTGTAGTTTAAAAGATTTGTGTGTAGAAAATTTTAGGTTAATAAGAGAGTTCCGTAAAATAGGTTTGCACAAATATACTTTGGTGTATTACAAACACCTTCCGTTATGGAACTTCTTGAAAATATAACTTTTAACATTGTAAAGGTATTTTACTTATGACTCCATATAAAAATTGATGTTGTGTATGGTGGTGTGATATCAACAAGTTCAAATTACTGTCACGTTCAATTTATTAATCCCAACATTTCTGTCATGTATTATTTATTATTTTACATCCTAAAAATTACTGGATGTTCTTAAAATATTTTGCAATAAAGATTATTCGTTATACAATGAAATGTCTGCTAAACGATTTTATTTATATTATTGTTAAATGAAACTTAACGATTATATTTTATATCAATTACTGTACAAACATTTTTATAATAATAATTTTGTATGTTGTAGGTAAGTGCTTGGAAAACATTGACATCAAGTTTCTGCATGAACTATTTGGTAAGTAAGCAAAACACACTGCAGAATACGATCCTAGAAAGAAAAATACTTGTAATTTATTACATGAAGTAAATTATAAACTAGTTCATAATATCTTTATTTAAGACTTCAAATATTTACGGATTTCTTCACTTTACTAAAAAAAAACGGTATTTGATAGAAACGTTTCACTAGATATTCCGCCACAGTAGCAGTAAGTCACACAATAAACAGAGATCAGCTTCGCAAATCTTGATGAACAGCGGATTAACACTCTTCTTTTTTCTGGTTTATAAATTCCCAAAAATTGGTGTTGAATACACACGGAGTTTAATATTTGCTTTCCGGTGTTTGCCAGTTTATTTTAAGCGCGCCTTTTCTCAAATCCCGAATATATCGTTCGGAGAGAAGAAAATAAGAAATATTCAACGAGACAAAGACAAATTGATTATTACAGTTTAGTAGATTATTGACCTGACAAATTGACTAATGGAGATTATTGACCTGAAACTTTATACATATATTTTACGATTTTATATTATGTATCATTTGTATATTTTATGACGATATATATTTTATAGGATATATTTTATTTTGTGTTATGATTTCGGGGCGTAGAAATTTTGGAATATAAAAATTTTGAAATGTAGGAATTTTGAGACTTGAGAATTTCAGAACGTTAGAATTTCGGGACATAGGGATTTTGAAATGTAGAAATTTCGAAATACAGAAGTTTTGTAATATGGAAATTTTGGGACATAGGGATTTTGAAGTGTAGAAATTTCGAGATACAGGGGTTTCGTAATATGGAAATTTCGGGACATAGGGATTTTGAAATGTAGAAATTTCGAGATACAGGGGTTTCGTAATATGGAAATTTTGGGACATAGGGATTTTAAAATGTAGAAATTTCGAAATACAGAAGTTTCGTAATATGGAAATTTTGAAACATAGGAATTTCAAGACAAAGTTTTCGGGCTGTTGAGATTTTGAGATACAGAAATTTCGAAACGTAGGAAATTTGAGATATAGGAATTTGGAGTCATAGAGATTTGGAAATGTAGCAATTCTGAGTCATAGAGATTTCATTAGAGAATTCCGGGTCATAGAGAATGACATTAACATCCAATCAGGATGTCTCACAAGTTGTTCACAATCATCCTATCTACATCCCCTTTATACTAGTTGGGACACCCTATATATCCACACAAGAAACTATAAATAATCTCGAAAGAAAAAAAATTTCAAAAAAATTTCTCATCCCCTTAAATTCCGTTTACACCTAAAAATCCTTTCAAACCTAAAGCCCATAATCGTTCAAAAAAATTGAATTCATCACCGCAAGTATTTTGAATATACAATTTCCAACACGAGCAAATTTCATATATGTATTTTACACGTAATCTTAGCTTATCGTCCATCACAACGTAACACAAATTTTCATTAGCCACGGGAAGCAAAGACGATATCCTCGACTAATTTATCCCCATTTTAGTCATAAACTCCAGCGATAATTCCAACTGAATAGCAACTATGTCCGGCATGGGCCATGAAACACTCAGCGCGTATCAGAATTATGAAGTACCTTCTCTAAACCAGAATCAAGGCTCGCATATTCAACGCGTATCAGGAAGCAGAACTGTTTAATCAGCCATCTTTCGGTGAAAAAATTGCACGTCGATTGGCCGGCGCGTTTTTTGCGCATAAATTAACGGTCAGTGCGCGTTCGAGCAACAAATTTTCAGCGCGCACGCATCGGCGTCGAATTTTTCCAAGCGCGTTTATCTCGCGATATTTATGTACACTGGCCGATGTGTATTTATATGCGGTTCCAGGATAGCAGCGCGCAAATGTTCCCAGGAAAGCCGCTTCATGGAAGCTCGATCGGCTGAGAAACGTTTATTCCCATTGCTGGATTTCGCTAAAAGGAACATTAACCGGCGAGAAACGTAATGGTGCACTGGCTAAACGATTAGCGAAGATGGAAATATGATATCGTGTGTTATATATTGGTGAATTCATTTCTATCGATTTTGAGGTGCATTTTAAATATTAGGGAATTCTGATATTTCAAGGCACACGTTTGGGAATTTTAGGAATTTTAGGAATTTTTGGAATTTTTGGAATTTTTGGAATTTTAAGAATTTTAGGGATTTTAGGTAATCAAAGAATTTTTGGAATTTTAAGAATTTGAGAAATTTGCAAAATTTTTGGAATTTTAAGGATATTAGGAATTTTAGAGATTTTTGAAAGTTCAAGAATTTTAGGAATTTTAGGAATTTTAGGAATTTTAGGAATTTTAGAAAGTTCAAGAATTTTTATAATTTTGGGGATTTTAGGGATTTTATGGAGTTCAAGAATTTTAGGAATTTGGGGAATTCGGGAAATTTGGAGAATGTCGGGAATTTAGGAAATTTAGAGAATTTTGGGAATTTTAGGAATTTTAGGGATTTTATGGAGTTCAAGAATTTTAGGAATTTTAAGAATTATAAGAAACTTAGGATATTTAGAAATTTTTGAGATTTTAGGAAGTTCAGGAATTTAAAAAGTTTTAAGAATTTAGGAATTTAGGACTATAGGAATATAAGAATATAAGAATATAGGAATTTAGAAATTTAGAAAGTTTGAAAACTTGACGATTTTGAAATGTGAGAACTTAAGTGTTTTTGAACCTGGGTACTTAAGAACTTGGCATTCTAGGAACATAGAAAGGGGAGACTATAGTAATTTAAAAATTAGAAAATGAGGAAACTTGATATTTTTTGAATTCAAGAATTTAAATATTTGAGAATCGAGAAATTTGGAGATGAAAATTTGAAATCTTGTGATCTTAGGACCATATAAATTTAGCAATGTGGAAATTTGAGAATATGTGAACATAAAAAATTTACTAACCTCTGATATCAGGAATTTAGAGATTTAAAAACGAGTACCCTCAGAAACAGCTTGGAACAAGAAAACCAAATAACAAAAATATTTTCATCTCCACTACCGTACTTCAACATTCCGTTTCTATTACAATCCCAAACTGCATCAATCCGCCCCGATTTCTCTCCCAGTTCACCACCCTCGATTTCGCGCGAAGAATTCTAATTCCGTAAAATCTAGATACTCGATAAATAACACCATTTCGACTCAGCTCAATGTAAATCTTGTCGATCGTTATATCTCCTAGTCGGAGAGATTACGCTTTCACGAGGATCGCGCGTAATGATCTCCCATTGCTGATATTTCATCGTGTTAAGTACAGCCGGACGTTTATCGCCGTTCAGAACGGATGTTCGAACGGTAGCCTGTTAATTTCGTTACGAAAATGTTTCACCGTTTCGCGTAATTACCCGTTCGCGAATAGAAGTGGCATGCTTCCTTTTGATTGCTCGTATTAACTAAGCGAGCGCTGGCTGTTTACGAAAATGTCCCTTTTCCCGGTTGTGTTTGACTTGGTCGTGATCGATGGAGGATGTAGGCCGTTTTGGTGGAGCTCGTTAGAAGCCTCGCCTCGGATAAGCTTAGGAACGTAATTTATGAACGAACCTGGACCCGTAGAAATTATGATCGGAAGGAGAGTGTTTTGAACCGAGTTTATTGATGTTCAACGCGTAATATAAGCGCCGCTACCACAGGATGTCGCATGTCTGTAACGTGTCAAAATATTCAACGTGTAGCCATTTGTCGGGGAACTTTTATGCCTAGAGAACATACAGG